AATCGGCCAGCAAACTATCTCAGCTACAACAGTTAAATTCTACTTTGAATTTTATACTTCTAGCTCCTGAGAAGGGATAAACCGGCTTCACATATCTCAGAGGGATTCTGCCCCAAAACGATAATTATTGGCGAAGTCGGAGCACCGGGGTTCAATTTTACTCCCAGAATTAAGGGATGTAGACAAACGAGTCCAAATCGCTCGAATTCCTACTTGGTAGTGCTGATCTACGCCTCAAGTTGACCTTACAATCGGTAGTGCCAACCGGGGCTCGTAGTAGGTGAGACGTATTGCTTCGAAATTCCTACATTGGACCTTCGAAGAATGTATCCCTCCACGTTAAAGAATAAAAACAGCTTCTTGACATTGAAGCATCATTTTTTATCGTCTCCTTTGAGATCATGTCACTCCAAACCACCTTTAAGATTAGTCAAACGTGCCTAAAGACAGCTCTTTACTTCTTGACGCAAAGTAACCACAAGTTGGTATAGGGTAAATAGGAGCTCGGACTTTGACTTCCAGATTTTGTTGAGCACAGGACGATGTAGTCCGCTCTTTGGGTCGAGGGGTAGGAATTGTAAAAAGTGGTAAAGCTGAGGCCTTGATGAAAGATTTTTACCCATCAGCAGTCGTTTGTGCGCATTGAAGCTCCATTGGGTTTTACAGTTTGTGCAACCATTAACCATGCACTCTCTTGCACCGGTTTTGGTTGCTATCTTGGCTCCTGCCCATTCGGATAAACAGTAGAAGAAAGACGGGAAGGTTGAAAGTAGAATGGAAAAGAAAATTGAGAATTTCAGTGGACTAATGTTGCAAGGAACTTGAGATGGACGAACGCCACTGTTTACGACTTCCAGCAATGTCACTCAGTATCTCTAACCATTGATTACACTGATCTCGAGTTCCCCATCCAGGGAGCCTAACGGGACCTAAGCGACCCAGTCTCCTGTTTAGGCCTAATGTCAGGTCTTAGCGAGCGATGCTCGCCGAGGCAACCAATTTGGTGATATGCGTAACACATGCCCCAACCAACGTAATCTATGGAGGTCTACCACTTACTCCAATGGGCAACCGCAGTTACCTAAAGCTCTGCGCCTAACCTCAGCATTGCTCGTCCGGCTGCCCCGCCAGCTTCGTGCAATGCTGCGCAGATAGTTGTGTTCAAACACCGACAATCTATATTTATCCTGTTTTCCTAATGGCCAAGTTTCTTCGCCGTATAGCAGAACTGCCGCGGCATACACTCGACCCTTCACAGACAGCCGCATTTCGCAACGGCATCACAGATGTCTCAAGGTGGCAAACGCGAGCTGACACTTCATCCATGATGCCTCCTTCGGATAAGATGTAGCTGCCCAAATAACTAAAATTATCCCCTTGCTCTGTTACTCCTCCCGTTAGAGTGAGTCTGGGTACTGGACCAACCGCGAATTGTTTCAGTCAGTTTCAGTTTTACAACCATTAACCATGCACTTTCGTACGCCGGTTTTGGTTGCTGTCTTTTGGTTGC